TTACAAGTTAAAGTTAAAGCCGAGGTTATTGCTAATTCTCATAGCAATATATGGGTTGCTTTAAACCTATGGAAGATGCTTAACACTTGTTGAAATTTGTAGCAATTTACAAAGTTATGTTAAGCCGACGTATGGTCGGCAGCCGAGGTATACAGAAACTTACAAGTTGAAGTAAATGCTAAGTATATTAAACACTTGTTGAAATTTATTTAACACTTAGAAAAGTCTACAGTATATGTTAACACTTGTTGAAATTTGTAGCAATTTACAAGATTGCAGGTCAGTATCTTGCCGAAGTAAAAGTTTTGCAGTCATACTCGAGGTATGTAACCCGAGAAGATTACACAAAAGAAAACTTCTAAAGTATAGAACCATGACAGAAGCAATCAACAGAACATCACAAGATTAAAAACGCCTGTAAAAAAGAACAGTTGCAGTTACATATTGAAAAGGCTACGTCGGCCATAAAAAGGAGTTTTACATTGTCTAGAAATTAAAAGAAGAAAAAAGTACAAAGTACAAAGTACAGAAAAAAGAAGGAACAAAGTACAAAAGACATCATCAAGACTCTTCAGTATTAGCAGCTACAGGGACTGGACTCGGACGATTCTGGTGGAACCTCTCGGCCACTTTTTCCGCTTGTATCTCGGCATCAATCTCTGCGATTGTTGTCTCAACACTTCTTTCTACCAAGAGAAGATCGGACGACAGCTGCCCAGTGACAATTTCCTTGGTTGCCCCCTCAACCTCATCACCCTCCTCATCCAAGGTTAAGTCCATAACCTGCTCAGCAGGAGGAGGGGACTTGGCTTCAGCACCATCCTTGGGTTTCCTCACCAAGGCTTCGTCATCATTTTTCTCATCATCCTCATCCTCAGCATCTGCCTCAGTCTCTGATTCGCCTTCAGGAGGAGGTGGAGGAAATGGTAAAGGAATAGCGTCGGCTTAGCGCAATGGCGAGTCAGCAGGAAGATCAAGCTTCTTTATCAGGGACATCCAACCAAGGGAAAAATCCCCTATTGCATGCCTGCCTGACTTGAAGTTTGTAGTCCTCTGCGACGTCGGCCATGCCCTGGGCATAGGCCTTCTCATCGGCCTCTTTGACTTCGGCCTCTTGGTAGCCAGAGCTTGCTGAAGTTCTTTCTCCGCTTGGGCCTTCTTAGCCTCAGCCTCTCTTTTCTCGGCTTCAGCAACTTTTTTAACGGCCTCAGCAGATTCGGCCTTCTCAGAGCTAAAGTTTGGGCCTTAGTAGCCGCCTCGGCCTGATCTTCTAATTTTTTCATCCTTGATTCAAGAAATCTGATCTCCTTCTTCATGAAGATACTTCCCCTTCATAATCAACCAATCTTTGCTGGTTTTCAAAAGATTGCATTGAAAATGAATGGGCATGCTGAATGGCCTAAGGAAAAACAGAAGTGTTAGAAAATATTCTCAGTAAGAAACAGAAGGAAAAATCGCAAGTGCAAACAGGAACACTTACTTGAACGGAGTGTTGGAGCATGAGAGCGTAATTCTCATACTCCCTAAGCTTAGCATTTCGCTCCAAATCATTTGGAAGGAGAAGAGCAGTGCTGAGGGCGACACTAACGTTAATATCGTCGGCACTTTCACTGGCCATGATAGGCCTATCCTCCAGAGTTAGTTCAAGAGCCCATGGAACGTCAGGCTTCTTTGACGCCGAGGTTGTCGCGGACGATGACCTTGGCCTCTTAGATTGTGTAGACCCTGAGGGTTGGCCCTCAGCAGACCTCTTGGTGGCAGCAGAGGTTGATTTTTGCTTTTCTGCCAGTTTTAGAAATAGGCAAAGCATCCTCGGCCTCGGCATCTGTAGCCTTGGCCTTGGGCTGAGCCTTTTTAACTCTCTTTGGCTTTGGTGGGGGCATTGATTGCGTTGGTACAGCTTCGGCGTCAGTTGGAAGGTCGGCAAGAAGATCTGAACGACAGGCCTTGGACGAACCATCTCGGCAGTCTTTACAAGTCTTCGTCGACGTTTACGTTCTGGAATTGGTATTAAGTAGGGGGCCGAAGTTGATGGAAGATCGGTTGGGTCAGAGGTGGATCCTTGATCTGTTCGGGATGAAGAAGCGGTTACAGTTGTAGCAGTAGGTGGAGAGAGACTCTTTTTCTTCCTTTTTGGGATATCGGGCAAAGTGGATTTATATGTAGGGATGAAGTTTAGTAACAGAGGGGCTTTTCGTTTATGGACTGGAAGGTCAAGGAGTTTTTTTCAGATCTGTTCCTGGAAGAAGGATTGACGGAAGTTTTTCGGTGCTGATGAAGATCTGCAGGACAAAAAAAACAGACGTCAGAAATAGAAAGTGTTAAAGACTTAAATAAAAACAACTAGGTGTTGGCTCAGGGCTCTTACCCTTGCCCTCTGAAATTGTTCGAGGAAGAGGGTAGAGATGGACATCTTCGTCTGGGCCAAATTCCCAATTTCCCGACGCAATAACAAAGTCATCTCCAGCCCCCTTGTTAGAGTCTGGAAGGTCAGCTACAATTTTAAACTGGGTAGATCTCGGCTTAAGGTAATAAACGAAGCCCCTATCCTTCAGGTTGAGGGGACACATGGTATAGCAGTACTGAAGGTCGGCCAGGGTGATTCTAAGATTTCTCCTGCCTAGCTAACTATGAATACCTTAATCACCCTATATGAGTTGATAGTAAGTTGCATGGGGTTCAGCCTGTAGAAATGAAGAACTTCACGAAAAAGGGGGTGAAGTGGAAGCCGAAGTCCACATTCGGTAAAAGCTACTATAGGAAAAGGCATTGTATGATCTGTGGGCATGATGGTATCATTATCCCCAGCTAGCTTAAGGTGAACATCGGCTGGGATAGAGAATTCCTGCCTAAAGTATTCAAGTTTTGTTGGGGTATTTACCCTATGCCTCCACATACCCATTATGTCAGTTTAAAATATGTTTCAGAAGATGGGCGTTTTTAAGAAGGGTTATAAGAACCTCGGCAAAGACCTAGGAAAGGGCTGATAAGGCTTGTTTCAGTTTTCCCTAAATTTGAAGGTTCTACGCACAAATCCCAAACCTAAGAACTATAAAGATCAAGATCGATGGCACAGATCTGGGACAGATACAAAAAAGAGAAAACAAAGACGAAGTTTCAGATTCAAAAACAAAGATGGACTATCAGAAACACGAAGAATACAAAGGGATAAAGGTCAAGAATTATGGCAAGAAAAATATTGAAACAGTACAAATGTTCAAAATATGGGAGAAATCGAGCAACAAAGCAGTAATGGTAAAAGCGCATAAAGAGAATTAAGAATGAAAGGAAAGGATCCTACCAGAACAAATGAAGCCGGGGCAATGTTCGCCGAGCTCAGAAATCGGTTGCAACAGCAAAGAAAGCTTCACAAGAATGGGAGATTAAGGACAGTTCCAGAAGAGAGATCGAAGCAATGGCAGATTCGAAGAAGAAAGAGCTTTCGGAGAGAGAAAGAGCAAGAAATCAGAATGAAAAAGTGAAGGAAAAATAGAGGCAAAAAAGAGTTTTGTCAAAAAATTGAAACGGCGGCAAAATTAGGGCAATTATTACGCCTGGTGCAACGCAGGCGTCAAACGGCGCAGACAAATGACAGACAGCTTTCAGGCGCGTCACAGACACGCTCCAATGAAAACAAAACACGTGAAAAAAGAACGGTTAAATATGCATGACAGCTCATGCGCGTGGGAAAGTACATTCGAAACCTTGTTCTCCGAAGAGAACACGTCGGTTGGAAGAGGATTATCTCGGCTAAACAGTTTTTGAGCCATTACTCAGAAAAGAAATGTTGAAATGTCGGTATAGGTTCCATCACCTCAGAATGTCGAGGTAATAGAACCTAGGGGGCAGTTGTGGGGATATATTTTCTGAATACCAACACGTGGCATGGTGACGCCGACGTCAATTAATGACTGTGGGGATGTATTTTCTGAATACCAGCACGTGGCATGGTGACGCCGACGTGTCAGCCGAGGTGCTACGTGTCCTGGTAGTTAAGCCGAGATAATCTCGGAGAAGCCGAGGTTATCTCCGAAGATATCGGAATCCGAGATAAGGGACAAGAGTCCTGAGGCAAAGAGGGGACTTAATTAAGATAAGGATGAAGCTCTTGGGGAGTTTATCTCTATCTCCTAAAGAGTCCAAAGTAAGCACTAAGATTGGAGTTCATAGAAGTCATACTTCTAGTGGGACTTGGGTTGAGTATATTATAAAAGAGAGGCACCCCCGTGGGTCTAAGGTATGCAATTTATGTTTTGAGTATTAAGTTTTGCACTTGATTATCTTTTAGAGATATACTGACTTGATCGTCGGAGTGCCCCCGGGTGGAAGAACCACCGCCGGAGCCTTTTCTTTCTGTTTCAGGTTGCTGAAGCCATCTATTCTGCCTGTGCTCTCCAGTTGATCACTAAGCAAGCAGTTTGGTCAGATTTTCACCCACACAGAAATGATTCGTACTCAAACGACGACGGAAATATCCAATAGGCTCATCACACATTTCGAAAAAAAAAAAACTAGTCTAAACTTTAGAGAGATGAAGGACGTTATTCATTTCTAATTTACGTCAAATTTATTGACTTCAAATGTAAATTAAAATCCATGACCTTAATGTTGTGTAGGATCTTGATTTGATAGCAAAATGAGAATTGCAATTATTCATATTTATTTATTTTTATGGGAAATATTTATTCATTTTGTTAATTTTTTACTAAACCAACTAAATGTTAAAAAAAATAAATACATAAAAACGTTCAATTTATTTTCGTTGCTGGTATTTTCCCTTCCAATTCAAGATACAAACAATGTTTAAAACTGCTGGAGAAAGCATCTTCCAAGAGGCAGATTAGTAAAAAGGAAACTAACTCGAGGGAAAAGTAAGAAGATGGTCATGGAGAAAGAAAAGGTGAATTAGAAGGAATGAAATAAGTTTTATTTACACATCTATATCTATAATCTATAATTGTATAAAAATGTTCAATTTCATTGGTGAAAAACCCATAATATAAACCAACTTAAATTACAAATCCAAAATTAAATGGTGCAACTACTTAATATGCTTTACAATTCACTCCCAATCTTGCACCGCCTTGCTTCCTTGTTTACTTTCCACTTCATTTTTCTACATTTGATGATGAGGAAAGATTAGACTGAAAGTTTAGTACATCATCACTACTAGCATAGACCACCCGAAAGATGTCATACTTGTATTGAAGAGGAAGGTTATCAAAATAAGGCAAAATTGTCTTACGATAATCGGATGTTAGAATCCATGAGTAGCACAATTGGAGGGATTTCCATACAAAAAGACTCACTGCCCTTGTTTGGTTTTGGTTTTGACACGTAAAGCACACCCCAGAAACTGCACCATCCATCTTTGCAAAGCGAGATCTAAATATGGCTAAGCATGCATAAGGAAGGTCATTCATGTCATCATCCTTCGGAAGGATAATAGCATTCATGGAAATTGTATCACCGGTTGAAAATCGTACAGCCGAGGACCCATCTCTTGATTCTCCAACACATGCATTAGAGAAACTATGATCAACTAAAATCGCCATGCTTGATACATTTGCCAACATCAATAGCTGGGTGAGAAAAAAAAAAAATGAAGGACAATATGAGAAGTACAGAAAAGTAAAATTCCAAGCTTAGAAGGTCCACAAAATGATTGCATATTTCAAAATACATGAGCTTTCTTTTGTTTCTCATTACTACAACATTTTATTTTATTTTTTTTAATTTACTTTTTTTGTATTGTGGCAGAAAAAAAGGTTGTACTTAACTAAGTTACACTCTTGTATTGGTTTATAGTGATAAAGTATAGGAGGTATTAGGGCTTCTTGGCCAAAAAGAGCTATCTTTTTTAGAGAATTTTTTTAATTTTAACTGCTAAACAATCTTTTTCAATTTGTGTTAAAAATGTGTTTATTTAACATACTAATTTGATTTGATTGAATTGAAAATAGTGTAGACGTTGTTCTAAATCATTGAAATTCTAGGATATTTTACAAGAAGACAAGACATCATTGTTGTTTGCTTCTTAGTTGCACGAAATGCAAGTGCAGATGGGGTGGGGGTGTGAGGATATATAAGAAGAGTTTTAGGTTGAGAGTGTTTAGGAAAGCATTTACATCTATATCTTTATTACTTGAGTAACACAACATATATATTTTTAAATTAAAATTAAAATTTATATATTTTATAGATTTATAGCACAATCATCGAGTAGGCACACACCCACTAATATATATATATATATAAAGCTCTCTTTGGATTTATGGATTTAAAATAAATAGATTTGACATTAATAATTTGATAAGTATAAGCCTTTAAACCAATGTACTATTTTAGATTTTGATATCAACAATGGATGTGAGAGCTTTATAATGATAGATTTCAATTAACTTTGTAAAAATAGCTATTTGAAATCCTCTCATGGAAGATTATATTTGTACAAGGATATTAACTAAATATATGAAACTACACGATTGTATCTGAATAAGAATTATCTCAATTTTTGCTTTGAACCGCGAAATTACAATTCTAAAGTGAAAACATTCCCCGAATAGGCAATTCCTATAACTAAAGTTTGCTTTCAAAAGAAAAACTAGAAATAGTTCACGGATTTCAACAGAAATCACAACCATCTTGCCACAAATGATTTGCTTGTTTCAAACAGAACAAACAATCCCACCTAATTAATTGTTCTTAAAATATGGTTTTTTTTTTAAAAAAAAAAATCCTCATCCAAAGGATACAATTTTTTATTTTTTTTTAATGACAAGGAATCTCCAAGGCAGGGGGCATTTGGACCTATCCAGTAGAGTAAACCCCCAATACTAGCAATCACTCTCAAATCACTGGTATCTGTTAAATTTGAGAGACACTAGCAACAATTAAGCCCAAGATATATGTCTGAGTTAATGGCTCACTCCATAGTTAGCACTGTTTTAAGAAACAGGCAAGGGAATGTATATGTTCTGGGTTCTTGAATCCCAGACAAAATCTATCATAGGCCAAGAATTTTGCATATATAGAAACTTGGTCTCCCAAAAAAAAAAGAAACAAGGACAGCAATCTGATCAATCATCCAGAAAAAAAGCTTACAAGTTACAATGCAATACTTTTGATCAAGCAGCCAACATACCAAACATGGGATTGTGGAATTTCAATACAAATTCAGCCACTGATCTATTCTAAATGAGATAATTTTGACATGGTGTATATATAGTACCTTGTAGGCTTATTAACAGAAATTCAAGTAATGTCTTGCACACCTAAAAACCAGTTGTTTGTTAATTCTGCTGAGATTGATCTATGCTGAAACTTGTTGAAATTGGTAGGTTCTATGATTAGTTTTTTGGGCAAAGTTCACAAAGAAATTTTCATAAAGGATTGTATCATATTCATAGCAGCAGTTCAAAGAGCCTAATTAAGAGTATATTAGTTCAACTTACAAGTGTTGCATTTAGTAGCTTCTTGTTCTCATTAGATCTCTTCATCCATGCTCCATACCATATGATCTGAAGAAAGAGTGCGAGCGAGCCAATGACAATACCAAAAAATGATTAATTATAGAAGTTAAAAATGAACAATAAAGATTGGATATGAAGAAAAGAAAGAAAAAGTTATAAGAATCTATTGGTGAAATTACAAGAAAATGACCAGAAAAAATTATGAAATTTTGGTGACAAACAAATTTAATCAAGGTGAGGCAGCACACAAAACTCGTTCTTTTTAAGGAGATTCAAGCACGGTAGGCAAAGGCAACAAACCAATACAACATAATTTTACATTAAGCATATATGAATGAAACATAACATTGTGTTATTGTTTAATAAATTTTTGTTTAGGGGAAAAAATAATACTTTTTGTGGTAAAAGTTATAATTTTTTTTTTTTGAATGATAAAATTATATTGTACATTTTAAAATTATTATATAATTAAAGTTATAATTTTTGTGAAAAGTAAAAAATTATACTATTTTTAATAAAAGAAATATTTTATGATATAAATTATATTTTTTACATGGAACATACCACAGTAGCCTTCCCCTTATGTTCATGTTTCATGTCATTTGTGACCATGAATTTCAAAAGCTGAAAGAAGCCAAAGAAGACCACGCAAATGTCCACGACTGTCCACGTTCCTCTCTCTCTCTCTCTCTCTCATATATGCTTCATCAAATGAACAACGTTGCAGTCCAAAGCTTCGACCACCCACTTGCTTTTTATTCTCCATTTTTCAGTCATTTACACACAGAGAGAGAGAGAGAGAGAGAGAGGAACGTGGACAGTCGTGGACATTTGCGTGGTCTTCTTTGGCTTCTTTCAGCTTTTGAAATTCATGGTCACAAATGACATGAAACATGAACACGAGGGGAAGGCTACTGTGGTATGTTCCATGTAAAAAATATAATTTATATCATAAAATATTTCTTTTATTAAAAATAGTATAATTTTTTACTTTTCACAAAAATTATAACTTTAATTATATAATAATTTTAAAATGTACAATATAATTTTATCATTCAAAAAAAAAAAATTATAACTTTTACCACAAAAAGTACTATTTTTTCCCCTAAACAAAAACTATAGAGACGTTGGAAAAGACAAGTTTTTAATCTTGTGCCTTGACTAAATCTAGATGCTTATCAAACAAATAATAATAATTATTTAGTAGGAAGTAGATTGCCTCCGTTTCTTAATTTGATTGGACGGTATTGTTCAATCTGTAGAAGTTCGTTACAAGTTCTGTTTTGATAATACAAACCGTTAATATGTAGAATTTATCGAGTATTATATACTTATAAAAAATCACGTTGATTGGATATCGATAGCTATACGATCAAATCAGTTTTGTATTAAAAAAAATAGACAGCAAACAGATTAACAGTTGACAAAAAACTGATAAGATAAGATAACTATCGATATCCGATTAACGTGATTTTTTACAAGTATATAATACTCGACAAGTTTTATACATAGAACTATTCGAATTATTAAAACAGAACCTGTAATGAGTCCTTACAAACCGAACAATAATATCCAATCTAATTAAAGACTGAACACAAACTGCCCGTATTTAATTATAATGTCTACAGCAAACATATTAACTCGGCTTGGGACGCACGACATTTTGACGGTGGCTGCTCTAACAATATTCGTCAAGATTTTTTTTGCCAATCAATATAAGTTAAATTATACTGTAAATCACTAAGTCTTATTTTTACAACTTATTACTTATTAAGTTTTATTAATAAATTTATTAATTTTTCTTGATTTAAAAATAATTTTACAATGATAAATTTATCAATCAATATTTATAGTAAATAAATCTAGTTAATGAGACTGATTAGTAAGTGTTCCTAAATTATAATGGGCCTTGTTACCGTATGTTTTTAGGACATATCTATAACTCTTATAAAAGTATGAAAAGTTTGTCATATTTTTAATTTTTAAAAAATTTCAATTTTACATTCTCAAATCTACTCTGTATTTTCTGAAAGTCAAGAAGAATTTTATATAAACCAACTATCTCTTTATTTTTGAAATTGAATATCTAAAAATGATATATCTATTTCGAAGAGTCCTATATAAATATAAATAAATTGTAGCACTTCTTATAAATAAATAAATAAAAAGTTGTCTCTCTATTTTTTACATTGATGATGATTGAAGAATAAAAAATAAGGGAGCAGCTTGTGTCGGACTGGAAGGTGCTATTGGGCCTGTGAGGGCCCACCACAGGTCCCATTTTGATAATCTGAACCGTTGAATGTGTAGAACTTGTTGAGTACTATATGCCTGTAAAAAATTACGTTAATCGGATATTGATAGCTATGTGATCAAAATAATTTTTTGTCAACCGTTAATTTGTTCACCGTCAATTTTTTTATTTATTTATACAAAACTGATTTGATCACACAGCTATCGATATCCGATCAACGTGATTTTTTATAACCATATAGTACTCGACGAGTTCTACACATTGATCGGTTTAGATTATCAAAATGGGACCCCGTGGTGGGCCTCCACGGGCCCAATAGCACCATCCAGTCCAATCTCGACCTGGACACAAACTGAACCCAAAAAGCAATTACTCTTTTTTATTTTTTGTGTCTGTTTTTATACTGATATATATATACAATATTTATAATTGTCCATTATGGATCAAATCACTGTAAATAATTTTGGTAGAATCTTAAAATTGTATGCATTAATTCGAATCTATATAGGAGAAAGCGCATGTATTTTTAAAATAGAGATTTATGTTGCATCTCAGAAATTCGAAAGTTATTTTCATACACTTTCTTTTGTTTAAATTATATTTTATGAACTGTAAGATTTTACATAGTACTTTAATAACCAAAATATGATGTCAAAACCACTTTCGTTAGTTTTATTTTTTAAATTTTCATATTTTTTTTCAATTTTGGTGATTAAAGATATTGGAATTTCTTCATATTTTATATTTAAAGTACCATGTAAAATATTACACTTCATAAAATGGGTGGTGGTAGCGGAAGACGGTGGTGGAAAATGGTGGCGGGTGGTAGCTAATGTTGGGTGATAAAAAAAAAAAAAGCTGAAAACTCAAAATGGAAACACATTTTTTGTGATTTCATTTTTTTGTCAAATTTATAAACTGAGACCACTGATTTATAAATCAAAAATTTTACCAAACAAATTTTTATTTGAGTTTTTAAAATTTTTATAAATATAAACAGAAAACTGAAAACGTAAATATTACCAAACGGCACCTAAGTGTTCCTAAATTATAATAGGCCTTGTTACCATATGTTTTTAGGACATATCTATAACTCTTATAAAAGTATGAAAAGTTTGTCATATTTTTAATTTTTTAAAAATTTCAATTTTACATTCTCAAATCTACTCTGTATTTTCTGAAAGTCAAGAAGAATCCTATATAAACCAACTATCTCTTTATTTTTGAAATTGAATATTCAAAAATGATATATCTGTTTCGAATAGTCTTATATAAATATAAATAAATCGTAGCACTTCTTATAAATAAATAAATAAAAAGTTGTCTCTCTATTTTTTACATTGATGATGATTGAAGAATAAAAAATAAGGAAGCAGCTTGTGTCGGACTGGAAGGTGCTGTTGGGCCTGTGGGGGCCCACCACAGGTCCCATTTTGATAATCTGAACCGTTAAATGTGTAGAACTTGTTGAGTACTATATGCCTGTAAAAAATTACGTTAATTGGATATTGATAGCTATGTGATCAAAATAATTTTTTGTCAACCGTTAATTTGTTCACCGTCAATTTTTTTTTTATTTATACAAAACTGATCTGATCACATAGCTATCGATATCCGATCAACGTGATTTTTTACAACCATATAGTACTCAACGAGTTCTACACATTGATCGGTTTAGATTATCAAAATGGGACCCCGTGGTGGGCCTCCACGGGCCCAATAGCACCATCCAGTCCAATCTCGACCTGGACACAAACTGAACCCAAAAAGCAATTACTCTTTTTTATTTTTTGTGTCTGTTTTTATACTGATATATATATACAATATTTATAATTGTCCATTATGGATCAAATCACTGTAAATAATTTTGGTAGAATCTTAAAATTGTATGCATTAATTCGAATCTATATAGGAGAAAGCGCATGTATTTTTAAAATAGAGATTTATGTTGCATCTCAGAAATTCGAAAGTTATTTTCATACACTTTCTTTTGTTTAAATTATATTTTATGAACTGTAAGATTTTACATAGTACTTTAATAACCAAAATATGATGTCAAAACCACTTTCGTTAGTTTTATTTTTTAAATTTTCATATTTTTTTTCAATTTTGGTGATTAAAGATATTGGAATTTCGTAATATTTTATATTTAAATTATACTTTTGCATGAAAATCTAATATCTAATAATCTAAATATAATTAAAAAGTAAAATATTAGTTTAAAAAAATTATAAATTCAACTATGTATTGATTTTTTATTATTATATTTTTTTGTTATTATTTAATATTAATAATATTTTTCTAAAAAAAATATATAACAAATTATTTTCTAAGTGTATTTAGATTAAGTGAATCTAAATCTAAAGATAAAATTAAAAAATAAAAAAGTATTAAATTAAGTAAATCTAAGAAGAAAATAAAAAGGTTATTAAAAAACAGTATTAAAGACAAATGTGTATATATATATATGAAAACAAAAAAATTCAAAATAAAAGTTTAAAAAAACAAACTAAACCAAACACTATAAACTTCTCTTTTTCAAAATCTTTTTTCACTAATTTCTAATTTTACACAAATTATTTACAAATTTCTTTTAGTTTTTATATAAATTTAAAATCTAACTAAAAAATAGTGCGTGCACACAAGAATGTAACACTAACTATCTATATTATGACCAACTATTTAATTATAAATAATTAATTTCTCATTGTTACCTATATTATATTGTTTTAAAATATTTCACATATTACTTTTGTGATATCTTATACATGTCAGTGTCTACATATATAAATATATTAAAAAATATATAAATGTTAATTTATATATGTTGTTATATTCATACATTGTCAATCTGTAATATTATATTACTATCGGATACTTTAATTTTCTAACATGTATCGTTTTAGTAATGATACCGATGGGCACCCAGGAGGGGCCCAACCAACAAGGGCCCAACCCACACCCTGGTTATCAAAGCCCAATAGCTCTAAGAAACTAATACTAGGCTAAGACCAATAGCGTTCAAACACTTGCCAAACAAGGGCCTAGACACATAA